GGGCTGCGGGCGGGGGCCGCACCGCGCACGCCCAGCCCCACGGCCGCGCCGCGCCTCGCGGGACAGGTTGGGCCGGCGGGGCGGCGCCCGGCTCCGGGGAATAATGAGTGTCTGTCAGGCCGTCCCCGGGTGACTGGGCGGGGCGGGGCGGAGGCGGCGCGGGAGACGGGGGTGGCGGGGGAAGGGCGCAGGGCGGGGTGCGTGTTTGCGCGAGTGACTCGGCCGACCCCTCCGGCGGCTGCCTCCACCCAAGTGGGTGGGGACGCGCCCAGCCCGGGCGGCCGCGGCGGCTCCCTCTCCCCTCCCTGACCCTCCCACCCCGGGTCCCAGCCTCTACTTACCCCGCCAGCCCCGGGAGGCTCGCAGAGCGAGCCGCGCCGGCGTCATGTGACTGCCCGGAGTTGGTGCCAGGAGCCAGAGGGGAGCCAGGAGCGGAGCCGCGCGGAGCCGGGGCCCGAGTCGGAGCGCAGCGCGAGCGCCCGCCGAGCCGAACCGCGCCGCGCCCGCCGCACGCGCGCCTGTCCCTGTCCCGGCCCCGGTACCCTGCGGCCGCCGCCGCCCGGACCGGAGCGCTGACATCGCTGCACTCGCGGGGCGCAAGGCAGCCGCGTCCGGGCCTTTATCTCTCGTCAGCCGCGCTCAGCGCCGCGCCTCGCAAAGTAAGTCCCCTTTCCCTCACCTCTCTTGTTCGCCCGGATTCCTGCTGCCCCCCTTTTCGGCTCGTCTGGTTTCATTTTTTTCTCGGGGAGGGCGCAGGGAGTGGGTGGGGGTGCCGCGCGGGGGGGGCGCCTGCGGGCTTGGGAAAGTGCGGCAGCCCCTCGCGGCCGGGCTGGAGGCGGAGAGCAGCCGAGGGGGAGGGGGCCCGGGTGCGCGGTCCCGGGTGCGCGGTCGGGAGTGTGGGATTGAGGAGGGACCGAGCGGCCCAGAGCGGGGAGCGAGGCCGGCAGTGCCCGCCGCGGCCCCGGCGAGGGCGCGGGCGGGGCTCACCTGTGTGGTCCCTGGCCTCCGCCCGCCCGCTCGCGACTCCCTCCAAAGCCCTAGAAATCTCGGTGCTCTCCGCGTGTGGCAGCGCTGTTTGCAGAAAGGTAGCGCCGAGGCCGCGCGCTCCTGCTCCTCCCCTCCGCACCCCCCTCGCCACCGGGCTCCCGCGTCCTTCCCCTCCCCGCCCCCCGCCTGCGCCCCCCGCCGCCCCCTCCCGGGACAGGGCGCGCGGCTGCTCGCCCGGCAGAGCAAACTTGGAGCAGTCTCCTGGGCTCTACGGGAAGAAACTTGGGGTAACTGGGATTGGAGGCAGCATCCCACTCCCAGTCCTGGAGCCCAGGAGCTGCCAGGGCGTCTGGCTCTTCGAGGGCAGGAGAAAGAGCTGGCCGGGTTTGGAGGGTCCTCCTGCGGGCACGGAGGGAACCTGCCGCAGTGCCTGGAGCAGGGATTGCAGCGCGGCTGGAGACGGAGAGCGCCTTAGGCAGCTGCCTCCAGACCAGCCTGGTGGGACCGAGGGGCTGATTCCTGGACCGGGACCGGTGGGATATACCTAGCATTTCAGAATGGCTTGCTTAGAGGTGGCAGATAAGACCTGCAATTGTCATATCCATTTAGGGGTCAGATAACAGGGAGAAACACTTCTCTGCTTTAAATTTTACAGCAGTATACAGCAATACTCGATGAAGTATGTGCATGGGACTTGTTTTTTTAGTAAGTAAAGTTAGACGAAAATTGGAAATTGTTCACCTTCTTGTATTTCACTAAAATAAACATTTTATCCTGAACCACTGAATTTTTTTACCAACTCAGAATTTATTTTTCCATTAATATCACTCAAGACACTTTAAATATATTGATGATATTCTCAAAAAAAAGTTTGCTATATGGGGGAAAGTATGAGGTGGAAGTCTGACTAAATTTAGATTTAGTATCTGTAATTATTAAGCAAAATCAAGTGGGGAATAGGCCGGTTGTTCATTATAGGTTTTTCCACACAGCAATTTTGTGCTGCCCTTTTCTGAGTGCTTTATGTATGCATTTGAGGGGCATTTTTATGAGAGAAATTCATCTGGATGATAATCTGCCTCACCCTAGGGAAGACTTGCTTTTAGAGGAAAAAATGATAGCATTAACATCTCAGAAATTTTTCAAGTTAGTAGTATTGTTTAAAGAAAGAGTCTGCAAATGATTTTTTCTGGCTTGAAACGTGAAGTATGTTAGCTGACCATAGACTGTTAATAGAAACCTGAAAGAAGATATTTGATTAATTTAAACTCCCTGGAGAAACTTATTTCTTCATTTCTACAGTCAGTAGGGTTTGCTGCAGAACTATTAGAAGGAAAAAGCTAATATGTTATTGGTAAATCAGTGAGGATACAATGAGAACAATTGGGCTTGCATGAAGGAGAATGCAAGTATAAAAATCTCAATGTGAGAATAACAAAGAAAAGTAGCTGCTTAGACCACAAAACCTTGTCAGATATAAAACAACAACAGAGCTTTGGAGAAAGCTATTGTTTTCTTCACTGCAAACTTTCTAAATTAAAACCCAGTCAATCGTCTTGTTGTTGTGAGCACAGTGATGCCTTTTTTTCTTTTTTCTTTTTTTTTTTTTTTTTTTACCTGTAGGTATATTCTTCAATCTGTGATAATGTAAACCTGAGTTAAACAGTCCTGGCTAACAAAGTAAAAAGAAATAATGGGAAAGGGACTGTGAATGGACTTTACTACCTTAAAAATACCTAAAGGAAAAAGATGTTTTAGAATATCTTGTAAAAATTGGTACTCTACTGATTATATAACAATTTTGGATTAAGTAAAATGTCAGGAACAGAACCACATTCTCAAAAGGTGAAATTCTGTAGATGCGTGTATATGAAAAACAGAACAGATGAGCAGCTCTGTGCAAAAATGCCTGTAACTGCATTTGAAAAAGACAGTGAACATTTTGGGTTACTCTAGATGTCCCATAGTCTATGTCTTGGAATTTAGTTCTGTGACTAAAGGAGGCTTAAAAATTGGTCCAATTTTAGTTGTGTGGAGTAACTCAATTGTAATCTGAATTCTTAGCAGCAGTGCTCTATCTTCATTTTCTTCATCATGTACTGAGGCTAAACGATAATCATCCTAATCTAGAATTTGATCAGAGCTAGGGACTAGCCACTGGGATGGGGCAGAAGGGGACAAAAGGAATCAGGAGGGAGGCTGGTGTTCATTAGGAAGGTCTTCGCTCCTTGAATGTGATAAAATCACATTTCACTTATGATGTTTACTGTATGTGGCAGTTCCTATTTGTAAATAGGGCAGGTCCCCTGTATAAAGCTGGTGTTATTATTCACACCCATAGAACAAACACCTCCACCCCCCTGTTGTTGTCTTAAAAAACTCCAGCTGCTCATGAATATAGGGTCAGGGAGGGCCGGCTAAATGTTTCTCTGTGCTTTCTCTCCAGCACAGCCAGCAGAGCTGTTTCCTGTTCTTTGTTTCAAGGCTGGGGTTTGCGTCATACATTCCAAGTGGCATATGTGTGCTCTTTCCTGTTTCAGGCTGTTTTCTGGTAGATCAGTAGCCCAGACCAGGCCGTGGTCCCTGCCCCTAAACTCTGTATCCCCACCCAGGGAGTTATCATGTCTCTACACACTTGCTGTTGCTCAAGATGCCTGCGTTATGTCATAATGAGAAGTCAGTTAACCTTTTTACGTACACCCTTTGCTCCACTGCGTTTATATGAGTGAATAAATGCTTTTACCTTTTTTAAATTTCTCATTGCCAGATTGTGATTTTGAGAAATTTCAGTGCATATTGGCAAAGAAATCCAAGGGAGGTTTTTGTTTGTTTGTAATTCTAGTGTTGAGGTGGGTAGCGTGTTTGTTTTAAGATAGGCATTTTGCCCTGAAGCTGTCAGTTTTGGATCAGGATTAACACCTTAGGGGTTGGGAGACCTAGCGTTACCTGAAAGATGTGGCCCACCCCTATTCACATTTAACACATTTAACACATCCAGCTTCCGCCGATGGAAAATTTAAGTAGGCTTGGTAACCTGGGCTGAGTTGAAAGTCTTGCTTATGTTTTGAAGGACAAATCTTTAGGAAAATAATTGAAGCAAAGCATAAGACATAATGGGAAGGTCCCAGGATTATTTGTTTTTCAGGACAAAGATTTCACCGTACAGTATTCTAGATCTGATTTCCCAACTGTTCTAAGAATAAAAAGCTCAAAGAAAAGGAGAACTGGCAATAACAAATTCATTTAGTAATAGTTTGGAAAATTTTAATCTTACCTTTTGAAAACAGAAGGAAAATGCTCTAGCTTTTTTTTCAATGGCAATTTTTTCATAATTCCATTTTTTTTTAATATTCTGTCAGTTGTAAGTTAATGAATTTCTGGGTTAACTAGTTAAAACCTACTTTAACAAATTGTTTTCCTCTTGGTTCTTGAGAAACTAAGTTTTAAGGAAATGGTTGAAAAAGAAAACTTATGGCAAGTTTCTTTCTAGACTTATTTGGGGATTTTCTTTAAAATCTAAAGGAATCATCTACGATGTCTCTAATGGAATTCAAAGAGTTGCTGAAGCAGCAATCAGGCCTAAACTCTTAAAAATTCATAATAATAGTACTTTGGTTTTAAATGTCACATTCTACCACATTCTTTATGTATAAAAGGAAAGTATAAAGCATTGCTATGAAGGTACTAGAATCAAATAATTGACTACACTGATAACTTTCCGTGAGAAAAGATGAGAGTTTTGGAAAATCTCAAGATTTTTCCTTTCTCCTCCGGGAAGAGCAACTTGAAATATTAAGCTGACTTGTAGGACAAGAGGCCTTTAATTCTTAAGTAACCCAAATTGATGCAGGTTTTTTTGTTTTAGTTCCAAAGTTGTTAACAGTCCAACTAGACTTGGTAAACAGAGTATTTGGCTTTCCCCAAATTCTCCCCTCCCCTTTTTGTGGGGAGAGGGAAGTGGTTAATAGAGATGATTAGGATCTAATATATTCTGGCAGAAAAAAAAATTCTGCAAGCTTTTAAATACTAAGCTAAATAGTTGAGGAAAATTATACTGTCTGATAGTTTCTATAATTACCAAAAAATGAGAAAAATAGTTTTATCTCTTGACTATATAAACCATAATTCCTAATTCAGTCTCATTATATTGCTATCTTCCCTTTTGATGCTTGCCTTCTTAATAATTCCCAGTCAACATTTTTACTATAAAATGACAGCATTCTTACTGTTTTTACACCCAGTTTTGTGAAATAAAAACAAAAATGTAAGCGGCCTCATCCTTTAAATACTAGGAAATACATTATTCTGAAAACTGGGGTTTTTTTCTGAAGTGCTTCATTTATCATTGGCTCTAGCTTTAAAAAAAACAAAAAAATCCCTAGAGTCTAAAAACATTGTTATCTGGTTTGCTAATATGTGATATTCTTTGAGTGAGTCGGAAGAGGAGGATGGTCGTTTAGCATTCTCATTTTCAAGCCTGGCCTGTCCCTTTCTTAGACCCCGTTTCTCATCTTAAGCAGCCATGCCAGAGCTGGAGACAGGAAACCAGACCAGTCTGCCCTGATAAGGGAGAGCATTGTCTAAAGGGGTAGCCCTGCTTTTTCTTCGCCCAACTCAACCCTCCTTCCTTGAAATTTAGTAGTAGTAAAAGAGGCACAATGCTGTAGACACAGTTTCAGAGCCAGAACTAGAACTAATTTCTCCCAAAGCAAAAAACTATCCTTTCCACTGGCCCTGTACTGATTCTGGAATGCTGCCATATTCAATGGAACATTTAAAAAATTATCTGTATGTTTTGTATCCCTAGGTCAGAGGTTTTATAGTAAAGTTCTTTCTTTAGCAAAACAGGTTCCTGGAGGTTTCTGAAACTCGCTCCATTGTGTTGGCAGGCTGAATTAATTCGTTATCATTTCTCCATCTAATTATTAAGGGGGGCTGCAGCAAGTTAAGCTGCCCTCCAGCCTATGCATTTAGTTTAACCCCTGGGTCTACCTCTTACCCTCATTTCCAGGAAGGGGGTGCTCCCTGAGGTAGCCCCCTTTGCAGGAGGACCCGGGAGTACCCAACTTAGTCTGACATACTCAAGATGGTTGCCGGGCTCTGGGAGGCTTGGGGATCCTGCCAGGGTGGCCCAGAACTAGTCTCAGCCCCAATCAGTGGAGTTTGGCCAAATCTGGACAGAAGAAATCAAGTGGATATTGAGATCAATGCATTCTACCCTGGAGAGCGACTTCTGAATCGAGTGTGGGTTTTTTCTTCATTGGCCTATATGCTATTCTTTCTACTACTACTACTACAACTACTACTGTTCTTTGAATCTAATCACTGAAATCCACTCCTTTGTCTCTTCTTGCACTTTAAGCCCTGGTACCTTCCATAGTTTTACATTCAAAAACTACTTTCATTTGTATGATCAAGTTCCTGTTCTACTTAGTTCTCCAAACAAGGGAGTTTTTCTCTCCCAAGCTCCCCAAAGTTTTCACATTTACTTTGCATTTTAGAAGATGATGTTTCAAGCTGGCTTCACTGGCCACTGGATAAATGTTCCGTGTAGGACACCTGGTATACGATTATTCCAGGGCCTTTCATCCTTCATTTATCCCAGCATGTGAAAAGTGTAGTTTGACATCCATTCATTTATTCATCTCACAAGTATTTATTGAGCACCTACTTATTAGAGCTCATCTCAGATTATGTGCAATCATTACTCAGAGTTATGCCACAGGATGGAGTGGATCTACAGTGATCTAACCTGAAAAGGCATTTTGAAATCTTAATTGCCTGCTGGAACCTCCTGATGGCACTGCTTCACGTGGGCCAGTGTGGCACAGCGCACCCACACCCTCCCTGCTGGGGGAGTGACCCCGGTGCGAGTTCCCATAGCACACAGGCTCTGAAGCAGAACAGAAAGAGCCCTGGTCTGCAGGCAGACAGATTTCTGTTCTTGGCGGAAGGTCCAACCAGCTCTGTGAAATTGAGTGAGTCATTTCACCTCTGTTCCTCCATTTCCTCATTTCTAAAATGGGGATGAGGACCTGACCCTTCCACCCTTGTACAGTTATTATGAGGATTTCCGTATTTACTTGGGTAAAGCTGCCAATTTTTCTCAGTAGTTTTATGGACAATTGCAGGTGTATTGGCTGGGAAGAAGAATAACCTAATTTGGGGCCTTCCAAATGTGTCTTTTGATCTCGTGTCCATGTGCGCATGCCGGGACAGTGTGGGCAGCAGGGGCCAGCTGGGAGGAGTGGAAACCGTCACTACTCTAAGTAGACGCTCCCTGTGTTCCGTCTCCCCCAAGGACCAACCTGTTCACAGAAATCGCTATCCCACTCTTACTGTCTGTGGTGTAATGTCCTCTGCCTGGGGAAGTGGTAGAGTGGAGTGCCAAGGCCACCAGCCTTAGAGTCAGACTACCTTGGGTTCAAATTCTGGCTGTACAATTTAGCAGCTGTGTGATCTGGGCAGATTACTTTACCTCTCTGTTTCAGTGTTCTTATCTGTAAAATGGGGAAGGCAGTACCCACCTCACTGGCATTAAATGACACAGTCCATGTAAAGAACAACGCCTGGTGATTACCAACCATGAAGATGGTGATGGTCAGCAGGAAACCTTTTACATCACTTAGCCCCTTGCTTTCCCTGCTCAAGGGAAGTGTCCTTTTTTAAAAACCTAGTGTTTCCCCCATGCACACACCCTCCCTCTGTAGTTGCCTTCTCATCCTCCTCCTCTTTTCCCTCTCTCTCTCTTTCTCTTTTTCTGTATTTTAGTCTTCCAAACAGAGAGTACAGACCTTGACACCAGACTTGTTTAGAAGACCTCGCTGGGTGGATAATAATAAATTCTTTGAGGATGATACTGACAGGGTCACTGGAGTACCCAGGACAGGCAAGGTTAAGGTTAGGGGCAGTGACTTTTTTAAGGAAGTTTAGTTTACTAGGTGTCCTTTAGGGTTAGGCCCTCCTTCACGCCCACTACCTATGTAAGGGAGACAAGTGCATTCAGAGGGAAAGGGAAATGTGTGTAAAACTCCTACTGTGGGCTAAGTGCTCTTATATGCTTGACAGAAAAAAATCATTCATTGACAAGCCTGATCTCCTGGGGAGTGGGGAGGGAGCCCTCTAAGAAAGGGTGAGGCACACCTGTCTCCTTCAGGTGCTCCCTACACTGGTGGTGGTACCACTGGGAAAGCTAAAAGGCCCAGTGTGTATCTAGGTGAGAAGAGGCAGCCTGGGATCTACCAGGGAGGGATCAGCTGGCCCCACAGAGCAGGGAGGGCCTTGAGCTGGTCTTTGAAGAATTAGGAGGATTTAGATAAGCCGGAAGGGGAGGGGGCATTCCACGCTGGTTGCCCAGCATCAGCATCGGGCCAAAAATGAACAAAGGCCTGGGGTGGGGTGGGGGAGCCGGGGCAGCCAGCATAAGGGCACTTGCTGGAGCAGGGGCAGCTGGTTGGAGGGGGGTGCCGGGTATGGGCGCCTGGGCCGGCTCTGCGAGCCCCGGGGAACCCCATGGGAGGAGGGCTTGTGAACTTGGGAAGGACTGTGAAAAGTGCAAGTGGCAGGGGGTCAGGATGGACCAGAGAGGAGGGCACGTGGAGGTGGGGAGACCAGTGGAGGAAAAGGTGTGAGGAGTACAAATGGAGAGCAGAGGAGATGAAGGCTTTGAAGATGACCTCTAGGTTTCCAGGGTGAATGACCAGAAAATAAAGCAAATGGAAGGTTGGGAGGGGACAGCCGTTTAGAGGAAGGAGCGAGGAGGGGAGGATTTGGGTTTGGGCCATGTTGATAGCAGTGGTTCAAAATACTTTTTTCTGTTTGTTTCTTTTTTGTTTACTTTTGAAGGGAGAGCAGTATTCGCTCATGGTTTTGTATCCAAAAGTTCAATGGCTTTTTGGGGCGAACTTTAATGGAGGGTTCTCAGAAGCAGAGAGAATTACTACCACACTGATGACTCTTTCTGGTTATTTTTAAGGTTCCAGCCATCCCTGTTCAGGCTGGAATTTCCAGGAACTGGCTGCTGCCCAGAGCCAGTTGGCCCCTCCCAGGCTCCCACTCCCTGTAGGGTGGGGCCCCAAGGGTGGAGGCCCCTTAGGGTGGAGTCCGGGTGGGTCTGCGGCGATAGGGAGGCACCAGGCAGAAGCAGATGAGAGGCGTGTGGCCTCACGCAGCCCTCTGGATTTGATTATATAACGCTTCACAGAAGAGAATTGTGAGGGCTCAGGCGAGGCCTGGCGAGATAGTGCACAGCGGGATTAGACATCATGGGTATTTTTCAATTTGTCTTGGGTTGCGTGCCCTTAAAACTAAGACAGAATTGTCAGAGAGCATAAAGAAGAAGAACAAGGTGCAACCCTAGTAGGGAAAATGATTGAGTTTGTTAAAATTTCTTTGGGATAGGTGTGGGATGCCGCTAACCAGGTGGCCTTGAACTTGAGGGCTGACCTGAAAGTGAGTGTGGGTTTTGCCAGCGCCCTCCCCTGCTTTGCTGGGCCTCAAGTCTGGAAACACGTAGGGATTTTGCTTGGTTGTTACCTTTGCACCTGTCCTTATTTACATGCAAAATCAATTGCTTCACTTGGTCTTTCCGAAGTACAGGGTGTGGGCAGAATCTTATCTGAAGCCGTGTCCTGTTTGGACAAGTTGGACTCGCCTTGGCAACTCTCCATAGGGTGGAGCAGATGGGTGGAGGCAGGAAAGTAAAATTGGGTGGCTTGTTAGCAGAGCGAGGGAGAGGGCGGATTGTTTGCTCACTGGATCATTATATTTCATCTGAAACGAAATAATTAACTTCTTTCCCACTTACAGTACACGTTCATGCAAAGTAACTCATGAGGGGCAAAGATTTAGAGATACTCCGTGGAGTTTCTTTCCTTTCAAACCAGCGATAGACGACAGAGGCAGGTGAAAATCGTGGCGTTACGAAAAGGACGCACTTTCAGGTAGGTGCCAGCGCTTTAGCTTTTCTTAAAGGAGCGTCCAGCTTAAAAATGCCTATTGACATCTGTTCCCTGTCCCTGTGTTTCTGGCGGCGGCAGCTGCCGTTAACTATGACTTGAGCCATCAGGAGATTTTGAAGAGTTTGGGCAAAGAAAGGAAGACAGAAAAGTTTCTCTGGAAAGGAAGTTTGACTGCAGGGATGTTGCTTGCCTGCCTGGCCCTCCTCCTGGCCGAGAATCACACACGTATGCACACACAACTTTTTTTTTTCTTTTTTTCCCTGAAGTTCTTTTGGGGAGTAAAGGGTGGGGGAATGTGACGTGTTTCCTCTTTTAAAAGTCCAGACAGTTGGAGGGGTTTAAGAGGGGCACTTAACTGAGGGCGTGCTGGTTGAGTCGTGCTGTTTCCGCAAACCCTGCGCTTGCGGAGGCCAGCCGGGAGACCAGGCTTGCCTGGAGGGAGGCAGGTCATTTGGAGCCTTCAGTCGAGACCAGCGTGGGGGGGATAACGTAGAGGGTCTTCGAGGGTCTGAGGGAAGAAGTAGGACATGGAGAGGGGACCAAAACCGGAGATGAGAAGGGAGAATGTCAGAGGCGAGTCTTGCAGTGTCCCCAAGAAGCTAGGAAGGAACTTTGGTCGGGCACATGCCCGTTCTCTCTGCACCCCCCACCCCGTGCCGTGCTTCTGAGGAAGGGGCCGGCAGTGGTCTGTAAGGTTGTTTCTGTAATAAAACACACTCTAGCTTCAAGACAGGCCACTTTCAGAAGAGGTTTGGGAACTCCCCCAACCTCCTCTCCTTGAGGACCGTGTGGATTTCTGAGCACAGAGGCTCTTGTGTACCCTCCCTCATAAAGCGACTGTCGGGGCGCAGACGCCACTCAACGGGACTCCCAGGCAGGGCTGTATTGCTTTAGAAACTTCGTGTAAGTGATTCTCCAAGCTTTTAAATACATGATCACACAGTTTTGCATTGTGACAAATTATTTGACCCTTTTTTTGACATCTGAAAAGTCAGAAATGTAAATGGAAGGAGTGTGAAGGGAAATCCATTTCTTCCTTTTTGGCAACAATTCTGCTTTATTGGCCCTTTTCAGCAAAATAACACCTTGGGAAAGATTATTTTGACAATGGAGATGTTCTTACATATTTTTTGCTTTTAAGCACCTCGATAACTTAGAATTTTTTTAAAAACAGTTTTGCCCTTTTGTTCTTTTCTAAATGCAGTTTTGTTATCCTGGGATTGCTTAGTTTGCCTTAGAATGTATTGCTGCTAAGCTAGTTAAATATAATGAAGATATAAATGTGTTTATTATTGGGAAATAGTTGTGAGAAAAAATGGAACCACATTTGGGGCCTCATCTCGGTGATACCCACATAAAATGGTTACTAGAATTCCTCAGCTTGGTTAAAATGCTAGGTTTAAAGACTGAGGTTGGCACCCGGGATTGACTGCCAGTGGCCTGGTTTCTAATACCTGTTGTAGTATGCCACCTACTGGTGCTATTTAAGATTGCTGTCGGTGTTGAGTAACTGATTTCCTGTGGGTTTGTGGTTTATGTAGCATTCTTTTAAAATGATGGTAGTATCCCAGGAGCACTGAGCTGCCCAAGGGTAACAGAGACCACCAAGTTTAGGGACCCTAATTCTTCCAGTGCTTAAGTCACTTCTCAGTTACACAGCAGGCACTTTGAAGACACTGCAGTCACTCTCTTCTGATGCTAGACCAGAACCCATAAACAAAGTCAATAGCAATGACAAAAGTGGTCTATTCAGAGATATGGGTACAAAGTACAGAAATTTTTTGCAAATAAAAGCCTGGTTTATATTAATGTTTTGATTTTCTTAAATTTGATTCCTTTCTAGCTTACCTCTTTTCACTTGTTTTTATTAAAAGTTTTTAATTACAGACTTAATAAACTTAAAAGTTAGCACACAGGTGTGTATAAAGCTGTGCCCCACCCGCACTCTCCACCACTCCCAGGAAGCTCTTGTTAACAGGTTAGGATGTATCATTCCAGGCGTTTTCTTTGCATGTTCTCCTTTTCATATTGTATGCCTGTCACTAAAAGCATAATCATTTAAAAGTCATTTCAGAAGTTACCGAAATAAGAACAAAGTGCTGTTGGACATGTAAATGGTTAATGAGTTTGATTCTGTTCATTGTGACATTTGCATTTTGCACAGACTTTTTTTAATTGTCCAGTGATGCATTATTTAGTTAGGAGATGCAAAATGATGTTTTCTAATACTATCCTTCTTCATTTATTAGCTTAAATGCTTCTATAATGAGAAATAGTCCTTCATCAACATTTGAATTACGTTGAGGTACAAATAAACATACCTTTGTAATTATTTTTTTTTATTTATTTATTTTTTTGAGACAGAGTCTCACTCTTTTTGCTCGGGCTAGAGTGCCATGGCGTCATCCTAGCTCACAGCAACCTCAAACTCCTGGGCTCAAGCGGTCCTACTGCCTCAGCCTCCCGAGTAGCTGGGACTACAGGCATGTGCCACCATGCCCGGCTAATTTTTTCTATATATTTTTAGTTGTCCAATTAATTTCTTTCTATTTTTAGTAGAGACGGGGTCTCGCTCTTGCTCAGGCTGGTCTCGAACTCCTGAGCTCAAACAGTCCACTCGCCTCGGCCTCCCAGAGTGCTAGGATTACAGGCGTGAGCCACCGCGCCCGGCCTGTAATTATTTTTTAACAAAAATGAATCAGGTTTCGTTAGGATCAGTGTTTTATACTAGACTTTATGTTTCTCTTAGGATTACAAGACTTGCAAAACATCAGTTTCCTTAAATTTGGATAAAACAAAAACTTAAGAACAATAATGATTTAAATAATGTCTTAAAATGATAAAAGTTATCACAGGCTAATGTGTAATTCGTTTCTAAATGGATTCAGTAGTTATTGCTGTAGGCATTAGGCAGAGTCATTGAAAGCTACAAGAGCTAAATGTTAGAATTTAAACTGAAAGGAACTTGAGAACCCATCATCCTAATTTGTTCTACTGTGACACAATTACTGGCAGTAAAGAGTGCAGATAAAGCAAGGGGCGGAGGCCACGCTGGCCTCACGTGGCAGCTGTTGCGCTAGTGCAATTGCGAAGGGACGAGGCCGTCTGCAAGACCTCATGCAGGACGTAGGCAACTGTTAACTTCGAAACTAAATTTAGTCCGCGTTTCACTGAAGAGTGAAGGGATTGACCTCTAAGACTAGGTGTATGAGCAAAGAGGCAAATACCGGACGTGGCTCCAGAAGTAGACACCAACACATTCAGTGTTGTGTGTATCCCAGAGTCATGTGCATATTTGCTGACATAAATAGTTGAGAGGGCAAAAGGACATGTGGGGGTGTGGGAGTTGTTTGTTTTTTAATCTCATCTGATAGACCTAAAACCTTGAGAAGTAGGTAAGGGAGGGTGGGGGTCTACATTTTACATGTGAAAAAATTTGTCCCATGGCTGGGCTAGGTGGCAGTCTGCTTGAGTCTTAAGACCAGGGCTCTTGCCTTATACACCTGAGAATGTGAGTGCATTTTTTTAAAGAAGGATTTGCATCAAGATCCTGACTAGTGTAACAGATAAATCTGTAAGAGTGAATTCAATTCCAAAGGCTTGGTGAGGGGGACTGCAGCAGAATAGCCAGCCGTGAGTCAGGGCTGCTAAATTATCTGACCTCATTGATGGAAGCAGGAGATCTCGCATCTTTTATTTATGGTCCACTGTGGGACACTGGACAATAATTCTTAGAACCATGTCCATCCATACAGCTGCTAGGCTGGGAACTGGTTAATAATAGATCCCAAGACACAAAAGCGTTTTCATCCTTCATTATGAAATCATCTATTTTTCACTGGCTATTGGGGTTTGTTCTTGCTGGGATACATAAGGGAGGTAGCACCATTGAGTTGAGCAGCCTCACAAATTGTGTTTGTAAATTGTAATATGTCCTGTGATGAAGGAAAATAGAATTTTGAAGTCAGGGCCTGATCAATTCTTGATGAGATTCATGTGTTGGCAGGAGATGTAGAACAGGCTTCAATGAAGCAATGAAGTGCAAGAACTACACAATACTACTTCCACAATTATATGAGAAGATATCGTGGTATAACCCGTACAGCACAGACTCAGTAAGCTATAGGATTGCTATCATGGAGGTGGGGGCAGAGGGTTTTAATACTGAAACACAGGAATTAACTCAGAACCCAGGACTTCTGCAACTTCTTCATTTAGAACTCAATCTAGAAATTTTTTTCTTTGCCCCCTAAACCAGGGTGATCCATAAAGATCTTACCCCAATCAAAGCACTGAACACTAAAGCCAACTTTGGATAGTAAGTGCCTGAAATGGGTTTCTGAAGATCAGTCTAGTAGCTGGACAGTGATTCTGTAACCTTGTGAAATGCAGTTGAACATTGAGGAAACCGAATATTTTGCCCTGTGAGGAAGTGTAATAGTTGGTTTGATGTAAATTACTGTTAGAGGTAGACTAGTATACAACACAGAAGAAAACAGAGATAACAAGGAGAGAAAAATAGAAGAGAAGGACAGGACAGGATCAAAATGGACATTTCCTTTACATTAGCCTAATTTCCTAATTAGGAGAAATTGGAATGAAAACAAGCTGATTTTCTCCATATGTGAAAAGTGCTTAGGAAACAATAAGAAATGGCCCGGGGAGGAGGGGAAAGCTCAAGACTTGAGTAGGCATTTTTCAAAAGAAGTCTAAATGGTCAATAAAGATGAAAAAAATTGAACTTCAATAATCAGATCAACTTAGAATAAAAATAATTTGCCATTTTGAGACTAACAAATTGGCAAAGTTTTTATTTTTTTTAAGTGGTTAAAATTTTGGAAAATGGCTTCTATTTTATTAATGAAAATAATAGGGAATCTTTGTTGAATAATACATCAGATGCTTTGGAAAATGTATACACTTCTTACCCGAGAATTCTCCTTCATAAAATTTATCCCAAAAATTTCTGAAGGATGTACAGGAAGATGTGAGTATTAAGAGGCTCATTGCTGCTTGTAATGGAAAAATTAGAAGCAACCTAAGTGCCAGTAAAAAAGGATAAATTAACTAATCTGTTCATGCCGTATGGCACAGTTAATTGGATGGTATGGAACCGTACTTACTGAAAAAGAAGCATTTTCACAATAGTTGTTAAGTGAAAGGAAAGGTACTAAGTGGTGTGTAAACCATGGTCCCGTTTAAAAAGAGGAGCCCTGCGTGGTGGCTCACACCTGTAATCCCAGCTCTTCCGGAGGCTGAGGCAGATGGCTTGGGCCCAGGAGTTGGAGACCAGCCTGGGTGATACAGTGAGACCCCCATCTCAAAAAATAAAAGAGAGGTTTGTTACGATAAAAAAGATTTTAATGATGTTTGGTTCTAGGTTTTCTTTTTGGTTGTCTTTTTTCCCCTGATGTTTCTATAATGAACCTAGGGGAAAAGGAAAGGTGTTTAACAATCTTATGTAATGTGAACTTCTAGTGCGTTGCGCAGCAATCCTAAGCAAGCTTTGCTGCTGAGAAGGGGCTGTACCTACTGTTCCAGAAATGCCGGGGTTTATGTTTTTGAGTTAGAAATGCCAGTTGGCTCTCATCTGTTATGACCATGGAGTCTGGTTTTAATTATATAAAATGGCATCTTTCATAGGTAAAGGAAGCAAATTCCAGCCATTCCAGGGGCCGAGTAGAGAATGGGGTAGAGAAGGCGGGTGGAGGAATATTATATTTTATTTTTACTAGTTTGTATTTAAAGGAACCTTGAGATTTAAATGTTTACCTTGTTTTGTTTCTAGGCCCAACACCAGAGCACCCTAGAAGGTTTAACTAAAAGAATGCTCATGTTTGACCCAGTCCCTGTCAAGCAAGAGGCCATGGACCCTGTCTCAGTGGTAAGTTTTCCAAAATTGAGTGCCTTTCCTTATTTCTTCTAAGGGATAGTAACATTATTGTGTCTTGTGTTACTCCTTAAAGTTATTCATCACTTGGCAGGCATTTCATAGGCAAATCTTTTCTCAAAGCCCCCAGTAATAAGTGAAATAAATACTCTCCTATCAACTGTGTGCCTTTTAATGAGTGGGACCCCTGCTTTCCTAAGCCCTGTGCCCCACACCCCCAAGACACGATCAGGACAGAACTCAGGCCACAGGTGAATCCAGTCGTGACAGAAGTAAGTTTACAGAAACTCTTCAGCCCTTCTATGTGTAAAAATATATTAAGAATAAAGCGATTTGCTTACGAAGCGTTGACAGTAGGCGTGTGGAGCTGTGGCTGCGCCAGAGAGGACGGGCAGAGCCAGCAAGGGGGAGGACCGGGAGACGAGGGTGGAATCCCGTTTTGCTTGGAGGCGTCTGTGGCGAGGTGGGGCTATATTCATCGTCCTTTTCGACACTTCAGTGCTAAGCGAGCCCCTCTCGTGAGCCAGGCCGCCAGATGCTCTTCCAGGTGTTTATACAGGCACTACACTAGTGCCATGGAGATGAGACCTGGGGACAGAGGAAGTGTCTGACTTCAGAGCAGGCAGCGGTTTAGACTTCAGGGGATCTGGTTTGTTGAATACTGAATAACAAGGCAGGACTCTCACTCCGCCTTGCTCTTTTCTTCCACGGGCTTGGAAAATACTCACAATGGGAAAAAGTTGGCCTGAGTTGTGTATCTGAAGGTTGGTAATGACACGCTTGCAAAATTAGATCATCTTTGTGCATTGGCTGTGGAGGTTCCTGCCAGAAATGTTTAGACAAGACTCGGGGGTCACTCTGAGGCCCTTGGAACTGAGTTGCCATGGATCTTACTAAGCCAGTGAAGTGTTTACCAGTATCTGCAATGAAAAGTTAAGTCAGAGGCTATATGGAAATAACATTTACATTCCAGGATGATAACTGGATAACCAAGTGTCTGAATATGATAACTGAGCATTCAGAAATTTATTAATCAAAAAAATAAATTTACTGTTATTCAGTGCTATCATCATATTCATCGACACCCTCCAACCACTGCGTGATCATGTTGGAGGAAAATGAAGGTACACAATTTCCCTATTAATTATATCCTTGGAATATGAATAGGTTTTTAGTACTGGAGAATATGATTAATATTATAAATGATGCAGAGCCATCAATGATGCGTTTTACTATTCAGTGTACTTCTAATGCTTCCAATCAAGCATGAAAATAAATATGGGTTGAGAGCCTAATTTAAAGCTAAAATGAAGGTCCACATTGTTAAGTTGGAATGATACAATTAAGTGCAAGGAAATGCACTTAACTGAAAAAATGGGAAATAAAATGAATTGAAATTAACTGTTAAACTTGTAATGTTGTAACTAATATTAATATATGAAGTTAAAGTATGTAGAAGTAGTTTTGCAATTAATGATCTTTTTCTCCATGCACTAGATTTCAATTTCAACTGACACTTAACAGAATTTAATTGGTTTCACCAAAAGTTAGCGTGGGTCTTTACGATGAAGGTTTTCTTTTTAAATCTTAATTTGTGAAACCTCAGTTAACAGAAACATTTGAAGAATAGGGTGGGCGTTATAATTATTTTACTTAAAAACATTAAATAAAAAGCTTTTGTTTCCACTCTTCTCCCTTTTTAAATTATTATTATTATGATTATTATTATTTTTGGTGGAGACGGTCTTGCTATGTTGCCAGGCTGGTCTCAAATTCCTGGCTTCAAGTGATCCTCCCAGCTCAGTCTCTCGAGTAGCTGGGATTACAGGCTCAAGCCACCATGCCCATCATTTTTATTTTAATTTAGTCTTTGATCTGAAAGTCAAAGTCTTTGGCTATTCAAGTCAATGTTGTAAACATTAAGGCATTATAGGGCATTTGAAAAAATTTTTAATTCTACAAATGAATAAAAATATTTTTAGCCCCTCACCCCACTTTTAAAAGGATAGCACAGCAAAAACAATGTTTGTTTGGTGTTTTGCTATAGATTAGAGAAAGTGAGGATGTCCCATTTCTCTTACCAAAATATAAGGCCTTCATACCGTGCTCCGCTAAACCTGCACTTTGTTAAAATTTGCAAGAATGGGGAGCAGAGAAGACCCTCCCTCCCCAGTTCTGTGCCTTGAATCTCTGCTACTCACTCTCCACACAGTGTTGGCAAGATCACCAGCAACTCTCTGAGCCTCCTTTTTTTAAAATTTTGTTAAACATGAGACAACATGTATATAAAATGCACATGTAAAGAAGTTGTTTTGACTATTTCCAAAAAGGTTGACAATTAAAGGATTTAATTCAAGAGGCAAAAAACAATTGTAAAAAGAAAAGCCCACAAAATTTTTTAAATATTCTTTATTTTTTTATTCCTGTAGAAAGATTCTTTTGGAAGAAAGTATATTCCCTTTTTTTTTTTTTTTCTGTTTTTAATGGAAAGTGTCATCTAACAGACTCCTTACAGATAGAGAAGAACTTAAAATCAGCAGTTTGCTCCATTCTAACAGAAACTTTTCAGGATGCTTCTGAGCCTGGTGGAACGGGAGCTTTCTGCTCTGGTTTGTGCAGAGGAGCGTGCCATCTTGTTTCCAGAGTGTGCGTAAGTGCACCGCGCCTTTCTGCACTTGGAGCTCCGCCCCTGGATGAAGATTCCTTTGACTTGCCCTGTCTCGGACGTGTACTTTTTCCACAGTAGTGAACAGGGAAGTGGAGACTTCATCCACTTAATATGTCTTGTAATGGAAAACTCACCAAACTATTCCCAGTAAGATAAGAAACTATTGAAACTCTCACTTTAGCATAAAAAGTTTATTTAGAGCTTTAGGAGATTTTCCAAACCCTGTGTCTTTTTCTCCGTCACAATTGCAGTCTTTTTTGTTTTGAGATTCAAAAGAATTGGTATAATTCTCAGCCCTCACGAGCACAGACGTGCTGCGATAGCATGTTAATTCAGTTCGCACATTCATCAAGTATTTATTGAGCACCTGCGCCAGGCCCACGCCTCACGTCTCAGAGAAGCAAAGCAGCAGTCAGCAAGGAAATGCACACTGTGTGGAGGTGTGGACTTTGGAATGCTTGTTACAACAGAAGGACAGGATTTTTCTTCATAGCAGATTATTTTGAAAAGTAAACCCATTACCATCCCTGGGCGGGGGGTGTGGGCAGGGAGGGACAGCCCCGTGTGTGTCTGGTCTTCATGCTGCTCTGTTCTAGGATGCAGGGTTTCCCGGGGTCAGCAGTGTGCACGGCGGGGCGTGGGATGTCCATCCATGGCCAGAGGCACATTTTCTGCGTCCTCACCACTCGCCTCTGATTTGGGTTTCAGACAGGTCCAGCCTTGCTTACTTGTTCTGCTTTGTTAGAAGCTAGCGATGGTCAGGAACAGAGGGGATGTGACTGTTTCCAGAGTGTACCCACCCGAGGCACATGCCCTGATCAAACCCTGTGTCAGTCCTTGCACTGGAGAACCACATTATTGCACACTGGTTGCAATAGCTCATGTGCTCCACCCAAATAAAATAAATCTGTCCTATAGAAGGTTCTGGTAAACACAGCTATTAAATTTGCCAGTGAACTACTTTGAAGGAACACATTTCTTTATCCTTTTGTAAGACAGGTGGACTAGAAATAGTTTATATACTCAGAGTCGGGTGTCTGTATCTAAAATGTGTGTCCCCACCTTTAGCCTTGAACCTTACAATAAATGCATTCCCCAGTATAGGGGACAGGGCATTCATTTGAGAGCAAACTATCCACAAACTAATATTTCTATGTCACTTTCTCTTTAGGCTTAAGAAACCTGAGAACATTATTAAATTTGCAAATCACTCAGGTTCTAAATTCCTGCTTTCCTTAAACTCACGCCATGGATAGAAAAATCCAGCAATGACAGCTATAAAAGTGTGTCCTCATTTTGCTCCCCATTTAGCTGCCAATAACTATTGGCATTAAAATCTAGGTCATAGAGAGGTCTTGGAAGAATAGCGCTGAAAATAAGAAAGAAGCTACATTTCAGTTGAGTAGAAACAATACTGCCTCCCATTTCCTCAAGTTTTATTCTGGTACCAGAACTATTGCGCTTTAGAGAATTATATAAAGCATGTTAGACTTTAGAACTAGGAGAAATCTTTCTCCCCCTTTTATTTAATTATTTCCTGGAACTCTCATTGTATATAGTTTGTAATATTTTTTGTTAATGAACCTTGTGCTGCTTTTAATAATGCCTATTTTAATATTTAAATTTAAATCTACTTAATATTTAATATTAATGTTGCTGTATGTTTTGGACATTGCACTTTATGTTGTACTATGTGTGCCTGGCTCTGAAGAAAGATAGAAATGGTCTTTGTTTGATCCTTGCTATATAAGTCAAAGCTGTTTTCATATATATACTTTGTATTTCCCGATTTTGTATCTTTCATGTCCTTGTTTTTAAGCAGTATTAGTAGTGAAAATGCTTTTTCCTCCCTTTAAGTTGACCTTTAGCATATTTATTTTATAGCTCTCACTTAGAGCCTTGCTATTCAAATAGGTGGTCTGTAGCACTTTGGGCCACTCTGCAGTGACGCAAAGTCTGCATTTTAACAAGATTCCCGGGTGAACGTATGTGCACAGTAAAGCCTGAGAAATCCTGGTTGGGAGCAGCGAAGCCCACACAGCGGGCACCCCTTGACTGCCAGAGGGCTCCTAGTACAGCTTGGTTGTCAGACATTATGTTCAGCTCATCGCTTAGGTCATCTCGTCACCTTGCGACCTCCTGGGAGGGGGTCCCACGTACCGCCTAGCAAGTTTGCTGCATCCTCACGGCACCTGCACTTCTAACCGTTTACTTTCTTGCCTTTTATGGAATTGTTTTTTTAACATAATAAATTTATTTTAAAGAGGAGCTTTATATCACTACTGTAAAAAATATGTATCAGGGTTTTTTAGCACATTCAAATAAACACACAAATATTTTAAAGTAACGTGTGTTCTTTCCGTACCCCACCTGTGTACCCCCAGAGAGACATACACCACAGTGCAGGAATCCCGGTTCTAGGAGGTTGTGCAGATTATAACAATCTGGAGAGAGAAAGAAAGGACAGAAGAAAACGAAACACATAAAAAAAATAAAAAAAAAAACCAAAACACATAATCTTAACAATGAGAAACTGACATCAAAACCAGATAAAGTTATGTAATAAAAAATGTGGCTGCCTGGGGCCCTGTGCCCTGACACCCTGATGCTCAGTAGGCCTGGAGGAGCACAGGCACCTGGAATTTTGAAAACAGCACAGCTGATTCTGAACCAGATACATGTGTCTAGGCCCAGAGAGGAAAGGGTATGATCTCCCAAGACCACTGCCGCCCCACCGCGGTTTGTACTCACAGTAGTGGGCACTGGAGGGGCAGGGAGGCTCAGAGTGGAGAGTGCTGGCCTGTCCCGAGTTGTCACTGCCTCCCAACCGTAAACGCGTAGGTTTTCGAGCTGGAAGAGACACAGCGTGTTCCTCACCACTGTCACGGTAAAACATGCAGGCACAAATAATTTTCCGCAAGTAAGCATGACACGTCATCACTAAAAATTTGTTCCGCTAAAATGCCTATGAATATAGAAAATGGCTTATGTTGAGTTTAATTTTTTAAAAATTAAACGTGCTTCTACAAAAAAATTTAACCAAAATACAACAATTTTAGTTAAGGAATAGAAGTAGTTTAGGTGAATTCCATGGTCTAGGATAGTGTGAAATTACTTTGATTTTATTCGTATTTAAAGCTGGTAGATGAAAGTTAGGTTATGCTGATAATGACAAGAGAGAAGGTACTGGAAGATAAATTATGTCACTTGTGGAGCAGGTCTAGATTTGGGATGAGACAGACCGTTCGCCTCCTCAGTGTCTCGTTAGGCTGCCCTCCAGCTTCATTGCTGCGTGAGTCGCAAGGTGTAGCGGGGTGAAGACTGGGCCTCAGCTTGTGCAAGTGGCTTCAGCACCATGTTTCCTCATGTGAGTCGTATCGCGTTGGTTATTTCTTATAGTTCTGTGTCGTCCACACATTTGGAAATCAGCTCGTCTACAGCTTCATTCAGATCATGAATGAGACCAATGAACAAGTTAGGGCCACGGACACAATTGCCCTAGTGAGGGGACCTTCAGTACAAAGGTGTATAGGGTGACTGACCCTCCCGGCGTGCCTACGACTGAGGAGTTACCTGGGACGTGGGGCTGCGAATGCTAAAGCCAGGACGATCCCATGCAAACTAAGATCAGTTGGCCCCCCTGGGCATGGGTCGTTCGGCCCAGCACAAGGTATATCATGCAGCCCCGTTTCTCTTTATCGCACACAAGGCCTGCTGAGGTTAAACACACTAAAGCTAGAGAGCATTTCTTGCCAGCCAGGAGCCCCATCCGAAAAGCAACAGGTTGGTTTGGCTCGGCTGGTTCTTGGTGAACTCCAACTCCAATTCCCAACAAAAAAGGCCCACAAGCCTGTGTTGTAGCCTGTTGTAGAATTTTGCCAGGTGTGAACCTTGACATTTGACGTGGGAATCACCTTAGAATTAAATTTCAGGCTTTCCTTGTGACCCAGTAACCACTAAGGTCAAGTATGTATCTAAATTTAAACTGCTTTGTAAAGCCCATGTAATTACAAGTGCCTTGTTCCATCTTTTTGTTTTAACTCATGTTTCAAGCAAATGCACTTGTTTGGCTGTTTACACTTTTTTCTTTTCTCCCTTTCCGATAGTCCTACCCATCTAATTACATGGAATCAATGAAGCCCAACAAGTACGGGGTCATTTACTCTACACCATTACCCGATAAGTTCTTTCAGACCCCGGAAGGCCTGCCCGGAATACAGATGGAGCCGGTGGACCTCACGGTGAACAAGCGGAGTTCTCCACCTTCGGCTGGTAATTCTCCTTCCTCGCTGAAGTTCCCGTCCTCGCACCGGAGAGCCTCGCCTGGCTTGAGCATGCCCTCTAGCCCGCCCATGAAGAAGTACTCGCCCCCTTCTCCGGGCATACAGCCCTTCGGCGTGCCGCTGTCCATGCCGCCAGTGATGGCGGCCGCCCTCTCCCGGCACGGAATACGGAGCCCTGGGATCCTGCCCGTCATACAGCCCGTAGTGGTGCAGCCCGTCCCCTTCATGTACACGAGTCACCTCCAGCAGCCTCTCATGGTCTCCTTGTCGGAGGAGATGGAAAATTCGAACAGTAGCATGCAAGGTAAATTCCACCACTGCTCTGTGCCGCTGCACCCGCTTAGTAGACGGGGTCTTCTCCAGGTGGTCTGGGTGAGGAAGCACAGGGCAGGAGCTGTCGAACTCTTCAAAGGATTCCTCGTCAGCCTGAGGCATTGCCATTTTTTTTTGAAGTGTTGATATTGGAAGAGCTCCCCAAAATCAGGCTAATTAATACCAAGATGATTGATTACTTTCACTGTATGATTGTCAACTTGGGGATGGAAAGAATCTTGAATTTTATATTGCTTTATTGGATACCAACATAGTTCTCGGTACAAAAGGCATTTAATAAATACTTTTTGATCATGGTGCTAACGAATGGCTATCAAAAACCACCTTGTTTACCGGCTGGTCATAGACAGAGGACTAAGGGATTGAAAGGAGAAAACCAAAAATCATAAGGAAGAACCATTTTGGGGGCTGTGTCTTAGAAGTCCAGTTCCTTGTTTGCTGCTTGTTGGCAAAGTAGTGGTCGGGAGAGACAAGAATCCCCACAGATTCATTCCTGCTGCAGTTTTGTCAAAGGCAAATAAATCTCACACGTCAGTGTTACAGACAGGAGCTCTGCAGTGAACTTAAAAGTTGAATTTGGTAAATTGCACACAGAGTGACTTTTCTATTTTTATTTTTTAGTACCTGTAATTGAATCCTATGAGAAGCCTGTATTACAGAAAAAAATTAAAATAGAGCCTGGGATCGAACCACAGAGGACAGATTACTATCCTGAAGAAATGTCACCCCCTTTAATGAACTCAGTGTCCCCCCCGCAAGCATTGTTGCAAGAGTAAGTATGTTTAGGTCTGCCTGGCATTTGCTTCGTGGCATGCGTCTCGGGACCTGGAATGGCGGCACAAGATTTCAAATGTGTGATGTGGCGTTTGGCCACGAGCGCCTTGTTGTGTGTGGCAGCCACTGAGCAGTGGCCCAGTGCCACTAGTCAGGATGGCAGAGTCTTTCCAAAAGCAGTGTGCTCTCTGTTACTCTGAGAGCATTATGGCAGATGATGTCAAGTTTTCAGTGAATTAGTCATCCATGATTTTGCACCTTTCCACATAAATCATTTTTATTCTTTTCATCTTTCCAGGTTGTGTATGCATAGTTTCCCCATAATCAGAACCCTTGCATAGATTGAATTTGGTATTCCAGATATTCTGCTTAACCTTGGATCATGAAAAGTTTTCATGTGGACACACATAGTCCTCTCTATTGTCACTTCTAATCTAGTACATTGTTTCTATTATGGAGAGTGTCTTTAATCAAAAACTTTAGGCCAACCACAAGCCCAAGAGAGACACTCCAAAACAAGTCCTGTAAACAGTGGTGGCAACAGAAAGCTGTCCGTGTAGCTCAGAGAAGCTCAGCATTGAAAGAACTCTTTGTTCTCTGGTCTTTTGAATCCAATCTGCCCGCAAGAGCTCAGTCTCCTGCGCTATTGCCATCTGCTAGGGAGGTTGCGCTGTCTTGGTCAGCATCCAAGCACGCCAACGGTGGTTTGTTTAGGTCCGACGTGCTGTAATGTGTTGATACCACACACAGGTTAAATGTCATTCATGGGATCTGCCACTGTAGATAACCTTGACGTTCACCGGTGATCACGCCAGGTTTGCAGTCACTAAGATGGCCTTTGGATCCAATGAGGATCCCAGTTCTGCTCTCCACCATTTGTATGACCTTGGACTAGTCCCTTAATCTTGCTGTCCCCATTTCCTCTCCTCTTTATTTTCATTATTTATTGTAATTTTTGTCATTATAATTGTCTTGGGTTATGGGGCTTCGGCACTGGGCTTGGTGGCCGCTTCCTAGTACAAAGGCAGCAGTCGCTGCCCGTGCGGGGCCCCTTCCGTGGCCCTCCCACATCACCTCCTCTCCACTTTGAATGAACGTTCCACCCACCTTTCTGCTTTGTCTTCTCACCCCTCTACCTCGCACGATTAACTCTGCAGCAGGACGTGAATCCTCTGGTTTTAGAACAGCTATTTTCTGATAACTTCAAATATATCCTGGTTGTATCCACATTCAGCTTGGTAGGCGCCTTCATAGTAGCTCAGGGATTAATTGTCTGCTGCACCAAATCGTATCTTTTTTTCCCGTGGTCATGTGCTCCCTGATAGATGAGTGACTCTTCTTAGCCAGCAGCATGGGCGGGGAGGGAGGGAGGGAGTGTCGGCGGAGTGTGCATCATCGCTGTTCACAATTGCATAGTGCCCTCCTCCCTCAAAAAAAGAAAAGAAAACTTCTCCGGGTGTTTTCAAAGGAATTATTTTATTCCTCCGCAACAACAAGGAGTGGGAGTCAGAACAAATGAAGAACTGAGCTGCCAAGACATTAGATAACTCGCCTGTAATCACCCCGTTACCACTGAGGGGTCTCCTGGGGCTGCTTTCCAAGTAGTGGTTTTCTTGCCACCTTGTCATATGTCACTGACGGTGTCAGCTCGTGCTCTCGGGAAAGAGAAAGCAAAGTGACTAAACAAAACGGACACATCTTGCAGGCTGAATGGCCTTTTTTTTTTTTTTTTTTTTTTTTATGTAGAGGGGTATCTCTGGCATGGTAACTAGCAACACGCCATGTACTTGTAGTTGTTCCCGCTCAGGCGATGAAAAAGATGCTGTAAAACTAAATAAGCCCAAGTGCCTGCGTGGAGGGCCACAGTCCAGGTTCATGCGCATCCGGTGCAAAACATCACAGAAGCTGATTTTTTTCCAGTAACCACTGTGTGTCTATAGCAGATTTGAAGGCAATGTTCTATGCTCTGAATTCTGCTGGAAAGAAAATTCTTTTTTCTTTCCTATTTTAAGTAATGTTCTTTTGATGATCTTAAGCTCCAGTAGTTTTTAATGATTAATGAGTAATATGCTTATTTTAGTGCTGACCTAAGAATGCATTTTGTTCCTCAAAAAAAAAAAAAAAAATTCAGCAGATTAGCCACAACTGGGCCATGTGCTCTTTAAGGAGTGCTCTCACAGGTGTGATTGAGCAGCTTCTTGGGGTGTGCCCAGTAGGGCCCGCACAGGAAAGCAGCTAGCCAGGAAAGAGTCGCTGGCAACCGGACTTCTCGGACCATTGCGGTGAGGCAGCCCCGACACTGTTCACCTTAGGAAACCCTTCCCTTCCAGAGGCAGACTTTAAGTACAGCTTTGAAATCTATTTGCTTGATCATAGTGTTACAGCTGTAGAATTATTTTTAAAGGCACTCAAAGGTATATTGAATTCTAAAAATGGGTTATATGTTTACATATGTGAAAATGTATTTAGCACGAAAAGCTTGAGGATCGGATTTCTCTATTTAGTTGTGTACGAATTGTAGCTAACTCAAAACAGTGACCAGGTATCAGATATTGAAAAGCTGTCCTAACTTCCTGGTTCTAATGATCCCAAACTACCTTTTTAAAAGTGAGCAGTGAGGAGACCAAAAAGGGTAAGGACCCAGGATTCTTCCCTAGCCTCAGCCTGAGCCAGCAGGCTCCTCAGGTGAGCTGCTAACCACGCTCAGAGCGTCGCTACTTTCGAGGTCGACAGTAACTCGGAGGGAGATTTCCTGGTCTGGGGACATCCCAAGAAACTCCTCATGAAATTAAACAGCTGCAGGGTTCAGAGTTCCAAATGGGTGAAGCATTTCTGAAGTTCAGAATACTCACAGCTCCCATTTAGTAATTTTGCAGACGTTGTTCTTAAGTGCACTGTGCACGTCCCTCAGCGTGGTTATCATCGTCCCCATTTTATAGAAAAGACACTGAGACAGAGAGTGAGGACCTTGCCCAGGACCAGAGCCTGCCAGTGCCGGAGCTGGGATTTAACGTCAGAGCCCTCGGCCTTTCGGCACGCCTCTGCATGTGAAATAAACAACTGGAAAAGCAACGGTAGCTACAACACAGGACCATTAGATTCCCAACGCACAGAATCCAGTGATTGGGAGGGATTTCTCAAGTGGTCTGAGACGGATACTCTCGAAGTATCCCAGAGATGGGGGAGAGTATTTAGTTAATCGTTAAATGTCTTGCCCTGCATTTTATTTCCTGATGTTCTCTTAATGAAGAGGAAACATTTTCATTAGATGGTATTAAGGTTGAACTGGTAGCTTTTTTCTACTTATTGAAGAATTTTAAGTGAATAACTCAGCCTTATAAAAACTGTTCATAAACCTCTCACTCCTGTCTTCTCTGTGTGCACGTATATATAATCGAACTCCACGTTCTTTTCCCCTCTCCTCACTATTCCGTGTTCACTTGTCCATGTGTCTAAACTCGGCTGTTTATCCATCTGTGCTCCTTTTCCAGACGTCAAGGTAGGACGGTAAAGTGATGCTCAAAAATGAGTTTTTCTTTGCTCATAAGAAAACGTGAGAATTAAGGTCACTTAGAATAAACACACCTTTTATTCTATTTCTCGTCACTCCTCAGCGTGCCTGAAAAAGTTATTGGCAAGGGATGTGTATTCAAGTTTTCACCAAGACAAAAACGCAAATTTCATTTCAGAGACTCTCCTTTGATTTTTATAACTAAATTTTATTATCATTTTTTTATTTTTAGCCTCACAAACTGGAGTGTTTACTCTCATGAAATTCTTTTTTCCTTTTCACCAATCTTTTTTTTCCTCATACACAGTTGTACAAAACATTCATGAATTGTTGGGAACATTGCAGGAACTGTGGATTCACATTTGAAAGAGAAGTCTTTCATTGCAGCTGCAGCCCAACTGCATACGCCTTCGACGCGTCCAGTGTTTAGTCTTTAGGGAAAGTGAGTGAGCGGATGAGAACGTTTCAGTTACTTACGTTAGTCAGAGGGGAAGCTTGAGACGGCTTCACAGACTTTCCCCAGCACGTCCCCATCTACGCTTTCTCTCTGCACCTTTCTTTCTGGAAAAGAGAAAGCTCATAGTAATGGTGTTTAACAGGATTTGACTTCAGATCCACCCTGCGAGAGAATCAAGGGAGGGAGAATGTCCTGTGTCCCGTGGGGGAACCGGTGTCACGGGTGGCTGCTGCCACTGAAGTTCTCCCCCTACAGGAATAATAGTGACAGTGAAGGTTTGAGTTTGTGAAGATAGCAAAGCTGGCTTTGTTTTTTTTTTTTTGGAAGAGCTAGCATTTAAAAATTAAATGTGAATTGGCAGTCTCTAAGACTCCAACTAAATGCCAGTTATGTAAAGGATAAAATACAGGTACATCTTAGAGTGTGGTTGCCTGAGACTTGGGAATTTGCCCGTTCCCAATTCCCCTAAAGAACAATAATGAAAAGGAGGACCTGTGAAAAGATACTGCGTTCAGCATTGCCTAGTACCACGAAACTCCAAATAGGCAAATGTTTGTGGAGGGAAAGAGCCTCCCAGCACTCGGCACCGCCCTCTAGCACAGCAGCTCACCCTTCTTACTGTCGTTACTTACCTCCATGTCTGTCTCCCCTAGAGTGTGAGCTCCTCGAGGGCAGGAACCCCGTTTTTATTCATCTTTGTGTCCCGGTGCCAAGCACGGTGCCTGGCTCATGGTAGGTGCTCACTAAATGTTTGTTGAATGAATATAGCAGTGCTTCTTGGGTTGGTCAGCTAATTTCTTTTTGTTTATTTTGTTGGGTTTTTTGTTTGTTTTGCCCAGTATTGTTAATGCTTTTAGTAGACTGAAGAAAGGGAAGAGCCTTCTCAACATTCTGTATTTAACCTTGGCTTTCGTAGGAATCATCCTTCAGTCATAGTGCAGCCTGGAAAGAGACCTCTACCTGTGGAGTCTCCGGATACCCAGAGGAAGCGGAGGATACACAGATGTGATTATGACGGGTGCAACAAAGTGTACACTAAAAGCTCCCACTTGAAAGCACACAGAAGAACACACACAGGTATTAGACTTCCTTCGTCTTTCTTCTTAAGAAGTATTAGAATGGAACGCTAAAGACGAAAGTTCTGGCTTTCAAAGTTATTATAATAAGATTTTTTCAGGCATCTTGAAAGTTATCCTAGTCAACTATAGATATCTCTGTTAGTCTTAAAGAGTGAAGGTTTTGGGAAGTTAGAATAGACTGAAAGCGATCCACGTAACAAGGTCCTCACAGTCCCAGCTCTGCACTCTAGGAAGGGAAGGAGGACGGGATGGAGCCTTCGCTGCGGCAGCAGAGAAGAAAGTGCTTTAACTATCGGATGTGGCCTTCATAGGCGCTACTGTTTAACGCACATCGTCAGATTCCTGAGAGCAAAGCACTGCCCTTTGTGCAGAACAGATGCACGCAGCGGCTCAGTAGCAATGGAATCCAAATAGATCATCCTCGAAGGAAAGGAAGGTGGAGAAACGGGGGCGGGGGTTTGTCTCCCATGCCATCGTCTGCCGCGCTTGTTTTAGGGTGTCGTCCACCTTGCCTGGATTAGACATAGAGAGTGCTAGCCAGGTCATGCAAGAATTGTTGCAGAGGTGAAGAAAGCGTGAAATTGTTCTTACTGCCTCTGAACATGGTAGCACATCTGAAGGAAATCACACGGACACGTTACCCCCAGCCTGAGTGCGGTCAGCGTCGGCGACTGATGCCCAGTAAGGCTCGTCTCGCTGCAGACTCCTGGATGTGACATTTTAGTTTGACAGCAACTTGCCTCTGTGCATTTTCCCTAACTCGGAGCTTAGATTGTTTTTCTGAGTCTTGTGAGTCATTCTCGGAATATTTATGAAGGGAGGAATCTGGGGCTTGGAAGAGAAGGCAGGAGAGTGTCTGGCAGTGCGGAAGTGGAGCTCAGCTGAATCCTGGGGAGGCAGAGGAAGCTGAGGGAAAAGCAGCCCGCATTCCACTGTCGCTTGGCTTGGACACAGTGCTACCCCGGAGAAATCTGAAGGTGGCGGCCTGTGTTAGGAAGAACACCAAAACAGCAGCACCAAATCAACTCATAAAAGGAACCCTAGGGCTTTAATGGGACCCAAGAGGTGGATGTCACCGACTTCCAACCTACGGTAAAAAAGACATTGACTATTTAGGTGACAATTCAGATGTGGGAAAAACGTGTATATTCTGTACGGCGAAACAGATAATACAAATTCTGAATATAGCATTGAAATGCTAAGGAATAGCAGTCCTGCAAGGTTTCTAGAGAACAAGGGGTGTTAAATGGAAATAACTTGTGACGCTCGTTACTAATTTAAACATGTAGGATTGCCATAAACACCCTTTTCATTTGTAGGGGTCTTCATGGTGGCCCTGCCTGTCACTCCCCCATAAAGGGTAAATTCCTCATCTGTAAATTATCTTTAGAGGGGGCTGCAAAAATGTAGCTTTGAACACATGGGGAGGAATTACTATATTTTTAGTACTTCTGCGTTAAAGCAGTATACCTAGGCATAATCGTTAATTGGCCGAACAAGAAAACAGGATAGTTCAGTTGATAAGAGACTTCATATTTTTAGAAAACGATTGAAGAGTACTACAGAGCCCCACAAACTTTTGATTTTCACTTCTCATTAAAGAAATAGCACTGCGTATAATTCAGCACCCAGGTGGGTTTAAGACTTTAGATGTACAAATGCAGTTCACCATGTGTTAATTAAGTCATTATTTGGTGGTAGTCCCTCAGAATGGATTTCAGTAACTTTATGTTTTAAGAACTCTTAGAAATCTTCTCCCACCTTTTTTTTTTGGCAGAGAGCCAAATAAACATTAAGAGAATTAATTCATTTTTTTCTTCCTTGTCCTATAGTGGTTTATAAGGCACTGTGTTGTTGAGGGACAAATGTATGAACGCATCTTGGAAATAATATTTCTCAAGCATTAGCTAAGAAATCTTCACTGTCTTTACAGGAAAATTAAACAATTTTCTTTTACCATTTTGCAGGAGAAAAACCCTACAAATGTACGTGGGAAGGATGCACATGGAAGTTTGCTCGGTCTGATGAGCTAACAAGACATTTCCGAAAACATACTGGAATCAAACCTTTCCAGTGTCCAGACTGTGACCGCAGCTTCTCCCGTTCTGACCACCTTGCCCTACATAGGAAACGCCACATGCTAGTCTGAACGCCTCCGTCTCCAGCCTCAACACGACCCCCACTCACCTGGCTCTCTCTCTGTCCTCCCTCCCATTATCTAACACATTTTTTACATGTACATTTTAATTTTGATTCAGCTGGTCTGAATCTCTGAATTTATATCATTCACAACTTCCATATGGTCAGTAGTAGATACTCTCTAATCCTCCCTCTCCTTACCACGGGTCAGACCTAAAGAATGTGAACACTTTTTTTTTTTCGGGGATGCTAAGCAAACCCTTCTAGATACGTTTAATGTAATGAGAACAAGGGAACATGTAAATTAACATAGCCAGCTGTCGGTTTCTCCATGTATTCCTCAAAAGAATGTCAAAGTAAATGTATTAGAAATATAGTATCCAGCCTGCTAGTCCTTGCCAGAGACATTCTGTGCCCTGCGATCACATTTTATTCTTGACAGCCGAAAGGAGGATGGTCTCTTTCACCGGTTAGCTAGAAGTACAGCAAGATTTCAAGCTAGTACAGTCAATTCTTCCATCGTCCTTCACAAATCTTGCTTGTCAGCCCGGAGTTATCACCTCATCTGAATCAAGTTCTTTGCCCTCCTTTGTGCCTGCAGCCCATGTGGAGATCTTTGCCATCCCTGGGAGATGAGCCAGAGCTTTGGTTTAGGTGGGCGACGTGTCCCAGTTCGAGGGATGGACGCTGTGCTTGCGTGGCCTGGAGTAGGAGCAGGGGCCACTGAGCTGGGGAAGCCGGGGAGGCAAAGGGGGAAGCCGGCCTTTCCTCCTGGGCTGGGGGTTGGTGAAATTTCAGCATGTGGTTAGCTGTGCCGGGCGTTCCTGGAGCTTCGGGCTCTGCGTGCTCCGCTGTGCAGAACCATGCGTAAAGCCAAATGCCGATGACGTCATCCTTGCCACTATCTCCATTCCTACAATGTCCTTAACAGGAGATTGTCAAGCATTGATAGTAGGGACTCCACGAAAATATTTGCCTAGTAACAGTAAAAGATCTTTTGGGTAAGAGTATGGATGGTCTGTCTTTTACCTGAACCTGCATACAGCTTTTTTGTAAACAGGGAACTGTTGAGTGGTACTCGTATTCCCGTATCAAATTAATCATGTAGCTTTTATACAGAAACTCTTCTGTGTGAGCTGTAAGGTGCCAAATTGGCTGTCATTTGTGTTCATGACACAGATCATAAAGAAGCATCTGCTAATGCTTTAGTAGATTCATTGAATTAAGCCTGGAGTGACACTATTTGTAAATATGATTAGTTGTGAAGCACACATACCTTTATTTTGGGGCTTTCTGAAAAATACAGAAAACCACAGATCAGGGATTCACATACATAACTCAAAAATTCCCAAAAGTTTACTATTAGAGCTGGCAATTTCCTATCACTGTCAAGTATCAGAACAAACTGAAAATAATGACTCATGTGTATGTTGAAGATAAATAGCACCATCATTGGAGCAAGTTTTTCAAAAGCAGGCTTTTGAGCACCACAGTCCATGCCAATAAAAATGATTCATGCATAGAAATGCCGTCGGTCCTGAATTTGAAGAAAGTGGGCAACAGTGGTTAAATGTAGGTGCGCATAACCAAATGCACCTTCATCCCTCCTTAATGAATCGAGGAGAGAAGAATGGAATTCCGAACATTCATCCCAGCCACAACTCGGGATCCAACACAACCTTAACTGGGAGGAATACATTGTTTAACCGTTTTTAAAACATCAGCGAATGGGTGATTCTAGAGGCCTGTGAATTTTGTGGGGAGCTTGCTTTGATGGCCCTACATCAATGAAAATTGTAGGGACTGTGTGTACCTGAAGGGTGCCACTCAGCCCTGTGAACCAACTGAAAGGAAATGTAGTTGAGAAATGCAGAGAAGTTTGTTATCTTGGCACTTGGTTTTGATTTTCTTTCTTTTTTCTTTTTGTTTTTTTTTTTTTAGCACTGCAAAATTTATTTAGAACATAAAACATCCTAATTGGGCTATTTTTTTTTTCTTCTTTGCAACTAAGACATGAATTGAGGGATAAAAATGGCTCTTTGAAAAGTAGATACTGTCTGTATTGTAAATGCTTAATCACATTCATGCCCAAGTGTTCATTTCTTGAAATGCTTCTTCCACAACACGCAGAATAAAGATGGAATGCAAGGAACTTTTTTGTTATGGTGGAAAATAACTAGCTTATGTGTGTTCCAACGCATATAGGGGGGAAGGGGACAGAAAGGATAGAACTGATCTTTGAATCAGCTTTGAGTCTGAGTTTAGTTAATAGAAAGCTTCAAGAGTTCTCATGAAATTTGATGCATTTGCTATAGCATATTTAAATTTTGTTCAAAAGGTCAAGCAAGACCCTGCAAAGACTCTTACACATTGCACTTACACGTTGCGAAGACTCTTGCTGAGATTATATTAACAGTTCGTTAACAAAGATCCAGAGTTTCCAACTCTGGAAAAACAGCCCACAGAGGCCATTCTCTGTTCCCATGCTGGTCAATATACTTTTATTGCCAATTGGCCATCACCAAATTCTTCTTATATATATATTTGTATTTTACTGTGGTAGTTGAGAAATTTAGTCTCTTAGCCACTTTTAGCTGTTACTGTGGAAGACCTCAAATATGCGATAAGATGCCCTTGAACGTGCGGTTTTAATGACGCGCCGTGTCACCATCCGTGGTGGTTCTAACTGCCATGTTTTACATTGACAAGAATGATACGTAAACGTGAGGTTGGAGTCGTGAATTTTGCTTGTTACAGCGTTTCTTCAGTTAGTACCCTTCAGAGAAGTCAGAATTAAATCAGAATCCATCCTATTTTAGAGTTTTAAAATGTGAATCTACATTATAAATGGGCATTAACATCCTAAATCACTTGGTTTGGAGAATGCGTTAGCAGCATAGCTCTGTTCAGCCAAGGAGACGCTAGATACACAGAAGTTTCAAGAGCCTTGGAGCAGGGCTACAGGGGAACTATATATGAATGTGTATATTTTGCTAAACACACATCTGCACTATCAGTATTGCACTAATGTGGAATTTGAAAGATTATATGCTGATACTATGTATCTGCACATCATTCCTGATTAGATTGTTTTAAAGACAATCTTAAAGATTTAAGGTTTTAAAATAATTTGGTTTGAAAATACATAGTTGTCTTGAAGGAATTGCTGTAATACATGAAGTTGCTCAGAGTTGTCTTTATTCTCTTGGTCAAAGTTAATTTCTAAGTGATTGCAAATTCACCTAAATAATACATTTAGAAAGCCATTTTACATGCATTAAATGAGGGCTACAACAATATTGTTTTACAAATACTAGCACTTTTTTTTCTGTTATGTACTTAGTGTTAGAGGGTCAAAATAATCTTTCTGCTTAGCATCTCTTAAACCATACCTGCAAGTATAGCAGGATTATTACATTTACAGTATACTTTAATACTTGTATAAACTATGCAGAAATTTTTAATAAAGTGTAATATATTTTATAAGCTAATAAGACTGAATGGGTAAAGGTTTTTAGCATGCATTAGTATACTTGCAAATACTGAGACATTTTGGTAATCTTTCTTACTAAAGATGTGAATGTTTAATGTACCTTCTCTGTTTCTACTCTGTAGTCCAATGGGAATTCAGTAATGACATTTTGTCATGTCAAACTGTGAACATAAATTTGTACTGTACAGTCCTCATATACTATATACAGTATGCAATATATGTATTATATACTTGTTAATAAAACCATCAGAATATTGAGTGTGACCATGTGATTACTATATATGCAGTGATCACTAGGAACAAATCTTAAATGAGCAATGCAAGAGCCCCTGCTTAGCAATTTCAAAGTAAATCACTCTTTGATGGGTAATCATTATTTAATGGAGGGAAAAAAAGATCTAACTGGAAGATGCACTAAAGTAATTAACTCAGCCCTAAAGCTATGTCTCTGGTTTTTCTGAGAACAGCCAACAAGGAGTCTTCTAAGCTCAAACCATAAAACTACAGAATATAATACCTAGTGCATTCTTAAAGTGTTTTACTTAATTGTGGTTTATTACCCCTACCTGCTTCCAAAAAGATTTTGCAGTGCCTTGTATGAAAAGACACATATGTAAATCCTTTAAATTTTTCACTAGGGTAATATCAGGGTTCGTATCTTGAGAAGTAGGGAATTAGGAGTGGGACAGTAACTGCATTGCAGTAGATAATTCTGGATAAATACGATTATATTTCAAGCCTTTGGTAGCCGTGTCCGTGGACACTGCAGTCTCTTCAGCATCACAGGAACAAGCAGTTTCTGATAAGCATTTAGAGTTCTTTTGTTTAAGACAAAATGTAATAACCTCTCCTCTCTCCTCTCTCCCTCCTAATGTAATTGAAACAAGATGCTGATTTGTTAGATCTCAGCAGCTTCCCACAGCCTGGACTTATTTTAGCGAAACGCGAAATAATGTGTGGCTGGCACTGAACCCCTGACTCAGCTTCCCGGGGTGGGAGTGGCAGCCGCTCAGGGGAAGGCGAGGCTACAGGCCGCTCCGGGCCCTCCCCAGCCTTCTCGGCCCTTCGCTGCTTCTGTGCCGAGGGGGCCCAGCGCAGGCACGAAAGCCATCGCGTGTGACTGAGACCCTGAAGCAGCGTCAGCTTGGCTTAGTCCCGTTGACCGCTTGGCTTGGCTTAGTCCCGTAACCCTTGCACTGTGTTTCTCGTAACGTGACCCTTGCCAAGTTCAAAATAAGCCCATCGTTCTAGGAGGAATTGTACAAGCTGTATTCTGCCCAGGAAAATGACCAAGGTGTGACGTGGATTCTATGAGAAACTAAATCTTTGAGGAATGGTTAAACAAAGCAAGGATATTGGACACAAAAAAAGATAATACATAGCCACTGCTTGCCCCTTAAATTCGCCCCTCTGTCTCGGGATCCAACCTACAGTGGATTGAAAATACTCAGGGTAAAAAAAACCAATAACAATAACGGTACAAAATACAAATAAAAAGCACACGGTACAACTATTTCCATAGCATTTATGTTGTATTAGGTATAAGTAATGTAGAGATAATTTAAAGCATAGAGGAGGTTATGTAGAAATGTCACACCGTTTTACATGAGGGAGAGCATAGAAAGACGTCGGTGTCTCCGGGGGTCCTGAAAGCAGCCTCCCAAGGACGCTGAGGAACAAGTGTGCTCCAAAGGCCGTCAGGTTAAAGGAAGCGGGATTAGGAGTCTTGCTGGGAGACGAGTTATCAATCCTAGTATGAATAAAAGAAAGAAATGGCTCAGTTCAGAGAAGGATGGTGTTAAAAGATAAACTTAGGCACATTAAAATTTTAAAGAGTTTATCTGAGCAGACGGCGATCCGTGGATTGGGCAGTACCAGACAAAAAGCAGCTGGGCTCCACCAAGGCTGCTGGGGGGAGTGTTTATAAGGTGTTCCCAGAAGCAAAACAATTATTTGATTGGCTAAAGTTGACAGTCCATAGTTAGAGGCTAGTTGGGGGTTTCTCTTTGGTAAAAATCTCTCGTTAGAGGTTAGTTGGCGGTTTCTGATTGGCTAAGCTTAAGTTTTATCTTCTTAGGCTATGATCATTCGCTCTGATTTGGGCTTTGGTTTGCTTACACAGGAACCCAAGGCACTGGAGCTGTCTCAGCCTAATGCCTTCCTAATTAATTTGAACAATGGGTTGAGATGGTAATAAATACATATAGATGTATGAATTAGATCATTAGGGACCAGAGTGACAAGAGTGTATGCACAAAACAATGAATTGTTCTTCAAGGATACGTTCACTTTAAGATGTGTAAACCAAACCTGCTACCATTTCTTATTGTCCGAGCAGATCTTAGTCCCAGTAGTCAGCAACGGTGCTGTATGCAGAGTGACTCCCAATTTGGAATGACACATGCTGTAAAAAGACTCAGGAACTCCATCAACCCAAGGACTCGGCATCTAGAGAACTCTGGGACAGGAGGCTCTTGGGGACTTTCGAGCCTCACCGATCTGCTCCAGAACAGATGTCATCTGCTGCAAAGTCCAACAGCTTGTCTGGCAGTTGCACACCAACAAGGCTGTGCTCACGTGGTCCCTCAAACTGAAATCCCACCCGCACGCTCAAACCAGCTTCTCCTGCATCGTCTTCAGTACCTACTTCTTGCTCAACACACTTGATCCTGCCCTCTCTGAAGTCGCTCATCGCACTCTATTTTTTTCCGTACTCTCTTCCTCACCAGAACAAGATCCCCACGGCTGGCTGAGACTCGTCTACCTTTGTGTCCTCACCACACACGCAGAGAAGGCATCGTTAGATAGTAGTCTGGGAATAGCCAGGTCTGAGTTCTGCTTCCCGCTCTGGCACTCACCTCCCTCTCGCCCTTCCCAGCCAGCTGGCCACCTCTAGGCCCCTCCTGAGTCTGTCCTCTCCCGTCCCTTGCCAGCACCCTGCCCCAGCTCGGGCCTCTTTGTTTCCCGCCGGGACTAGCCCAGAAATGCCCTCACTCTCTCCCTTCAGTCATCCTCCTCCACCAGGTGCCAAGACCGTCCTTCCCAAACTAAGGACTGGCCATGTTACTGCCCCTCTGTTTAGAATCCTTCCAGGGCCCTCACTGCACCTGAACCTGGTTATTCTTAATTCGGCCCCATCCCCTTTGAGCACTCATATATCATCAAACTTTTGTTTTTCTTTTCCTTTTTTTCCAAGAACCTTCAATCACTTTCCATACTCAGCAACTTCCATGGGTACACAAGGCATTCAGGGAGATACTCACCAAACTCTTACTCATCTTCCAAAACCCTATTCAAAAGTCACCTCTTCTTTGGGCTTTCCTTGAATGAATTCCACTCCCCTTCTCCATGGAGATACTGTCTCCCCAGTTCCTTCTGTGGCCCCACAACCCTGTGATTTCCTAAATTATTAGCACATGTCCCCTGCATGGTCAGTTTGCCCATCTGTCTCCTTCCTTCCCCAGATCTCAGACCATCCTCACATGATTCTACTCCAGGTGCCCAGTGTCCATTCCTCAAGGACAGGCACAAAGTGCACCGAGGTGTGTGTTGGGAAGTGTGCCAGGAAGGTATGTTAAATGAGCAAGTGGGCAGTAATAGCTAACATTAATTGAGCACTTACTATACGTGCTGAACTATTCTAAGCACTTTGCAAGTACTCATGTAACTCTCAGCACTGTAATCTATTATCATTCTCTTTTTACAGATGGAAATTGTGGCACAGAGGAGTTAAGTAATTTACCCGAGGTCACAAAGACAGCAAGCGAAGACCCAAGTTCGAATCCAGAGTGTGCTCTTGAAACTATTAAACACAGGTCTCTGGTCTGGGTGGCCTCCTGGCCATTTTGGTGCTTCCTCTAAAAATTCAGCTCACACAGGTTTGCCTTTGCCCATATCGAGCCGTCTTCGGGGATGCCCTCCCACCATCCAGGCCTCACTTGTCCATCCCCTGACTAGGAAAGTACTGCTAGTTCTTCGGCACTTGCACAGCCAGAACTCCCCAAGTGGTGAAGGAAGGGGGAAATTTGCTGATTTCCATCAATAAGAGGCTTGACATATTTTTTTAACTGTTAGGAAGATTGTATAATTTACGTAACATAAAATGATTCTTTTCAGTGTATATCCCAGTCAGTTTTGACAAACACATACAGTCATGTAATTATCACAATCAAGACATAGAACAATTCCATTCTTCCCTAAAATTCCCTCACACTCCCACGCTCCTTTGTAGTCAACTCCCACCTATTTTATTTCCCTGTACTTCTGTCTCATGTGTGTCTAAGCCTGTCTTCTACTGCATAGCATTATGTATTTGAGATCAACTATGCACTTACACATACTAGTAGCTTATTCCTTACAATGATTGAATGTGGATATACCACAAAATGTTCATACATTCACCAGTTGAAAGATATTTGGATTGTTTCCAATTCGAAAACATTTGAGGCAATTATGCATAAAGCTACCATAAATATTTGTGTACCGGTATTTGTCTTTTTTGCTTGATTTTGTTTTTGTATTCATTACTCTCAGGTAAATGCTTACAAGTGGTATTGCTAGCTTGTGTAGTAAGTAAATGTTTAGCTCTTTAACTAAAGAGCTAAACTCTTTTTCCAGATCACTGTACCATTTTGCATTTCCACCAGCAACGTCGGAGAGTTCCAAGGTACCCTGCTACCTTCCCAGCACTTGCTATTGTCAAGTGTTCTGTTTCCTTCAGCCTAATACGTGGAACAGTATCTCACTGTGGTTTTAATTTGCATTCCCTCAAGACTTACAGTGACCATCTTTTCATGTGCTTATTTGCTATCCACCTGTCTTCTTCACCGGAGTGCCTGTTCAAACCTTTTGCCCATTTGTATTGGGTTGTTTGTTTTCTTATTATTGAGTTTTGAGACGTTGTTATACAGTCTCCATGTAAGTCCTGTTTTGCTAATGTTTTCTTTCAGTCTGTGGTTTATCTTTGCATTCTCTTAACAATGTCTTTGAAACAGGAGA